AGGCGGGAGGCGCGGCCCGGCCCGGCCCGGCCCGGTCCCCGCGGGGCCGCTGAGGTCTTGGGGCAAAAGCGCGGCGGCCTCGCCGGTGCGGGAGCGGCCGGTGGTGGTTCTGCCTGGAAGACGTTGGGTGCTGCGAGCTTCCCCTCGCTTTGCTCGGCCTCAGCCCAGAGACCTCGGGTCTTATTTGGGGAACAGCCGGTTACAGGCCCTGCTCGGTTACAAGCCCTCCCTTGCCGGTTGATTTAAAATAAGTAATCTTTTTTATTTAAAAAAAACCAAACAACAAAACAGGCCGCTCCAGAGGTGCTTGCCTAGGTCAGACCGAGTGCTACAGTGCACAAGGTCAGCAGCAAGAAACCTCTGCTGGGAAAGGAGCTTCCTCCCCTCTCCCCCTCCGGTCTTCGCATTCTTCCCGGGGTGATACCGTGCTTTGGGATGCCTTTGCTTCCCGAAATTTAGGGTGTAGAGCCAAGGGGCCAGGTGGCACGCTGTCCTGGGGTGCTTCTGCTAGTTCCCAGCCCGGGTTACAGGGGAGCAGGAGATAACGTCCCCGAGAACTGTGCTGCGTGGCTGGTTCTGACATCGGGATGCAGTTTTGCTGTCAGCAGGAGTGTTTACTACTGGTGGTAAGGAGAGCAATAGTAAAGAGGAGTGTACTAAGTGGAATTCAGAGTGCTGCTCGACTACAAAACCTTTTACAGTTTTCAAGGCAAATTAATCCTTAGGAAAGTGTCCGTATTTGCAGTTACAGCTAAAATGAATTCATCCTTACTCTTTTTATGGTTTAGGATTTGGTGACTAAAAAGCAAATGGTGAGCTGGTTGTGGTTGTTTCTGCTCCTGTGAAGTAGCACGTCTGTTTGTTTTAAAGGTATCTAAAATACACCTAGTGGGCAGCGAGCTTTATGTGAACTTAAAAGTGTTTTCTGTCACTGTTATAGAGGGTCCTTTGCTGCCAGAGCCAAAGACAACCCCTTTAGATCAAAGCATTAAAAAATAAAGGGCCTGCGTGCTTTTTGCAGAAGGTAACAGATTCTTGCTCTCACCCTCTGCTGTGAAACTCAAGATCTTGTACACACCATGTGACCAAAATCAAACGTGTTTAGGTAGTGTCATGTGTATTTATGGAAAGACTTCTTTTGTCAGCTGTTTTGCATCCCTGAATGCCATTATCTTTCACTGGACTTGGGTATGTTTCTGTGGGATTTCTTTACTAGCTCTTCAAAATAATTAAAGTGATTAAAAGAGAATATAATTGGTTAGGAACAGAATGACAATTCACATCTAAACCTTAGCCTTCAGGGACCATTAAAAAATACAAAACTAAACAAAGAACAAATAATTTGGAAAACACATAGGTTGCTATCCCCAGAATTGAGCTGCTCAGAAACAATGAAAAAAACAAGGGAAAAAAGAGAGGTAGAAGCAGAAAAGAGATGTAAAGGGTAAGCCAGCTTAAAACTGAAACCACAGACAAGTTTTTTTTTTTTACTTACAATGTTAAAAGGTTTTTTTTTTTTCCCACAGTTTATTTTTATTTCACATGTGCATGATTTGAAGCCATTTCAATTAGTTAATTTGGACATCTTCTCCCTTCTTGTTCTCTCAGCTTCTGGACAGGTAAACATTATTTCTACTGCTGACATCTAGAAACTAGGAGGCCCGAGCTTTTTGTTCTCTTCTCAGTAATAATATAGAGGCTAAAAACCTGTCCTTTATAATACCAGGACTTCTAAAGCCTGTTTTTAGAGGAGTCATGAAGTTCTTTAAGTATCTTCACACTGAACCAGAGGGACTATTGATCCTACCTAATTTCTCTACAATGTGGGTACCGAAGAGAATGTACTAAAAATTTCAACAGGGTTCAGCAAGTTTGAGAGCCACGGCGTCTTGAGAAAGGCGTGAGCTCAAGGCAGCTCCTGTTGAACTTGGTAGGAGTCCCTGCTTTGTGTAGAGATGCTATAGAAGAGGTGCATTTCTCTTCTTAGGGAGGCAGAATTTCCCAAGCTTTGTTTAGTTTCTGTATTTGTAAATCACACTTTGTCAGTAGCTTTTCTGCTGCTGATCCCTTGGCGTGTTTAAGATCTGCTTGCTGTCTTCTTCCCACTGAAGGAAAGCCAGCTGGAGAGGTGACTGCCCTCAGCTTGCCTCAGCTGGTAATTATTAGAGTGGGAAGAACCTGTCAGGTAAGGTGTTTAAGTTAACCTAACCCACGCATCACTGAAGAAAGAAGAGAGATGCGTAAGCGGATGAGATAGATGAAAGGCTCTCTAACCTTCAGGTGAAGGGTGGTGACAAGCAGCTGGCAACACTGGCCTGTTCAGCCAGTGCTGGGGAGAAACTGCAGGTGACAGACCTGTGCTCTTGTCTTGATTTGCATCCAGGCTGGCCCCCTTTGATCTTGCTGTTTCTGAATTCCTTCTCTCTGGCCAACACTGGGATTTATTTTCTCCTCTCCCCCTCACCAGTTAGCCACCAGCCCATTGCCCCTAGTTCCAGACAGCTGGTGTTAATGATATTCACTCATTTTCAACCTACTTCTTTTTGTACAGATGGACTCTTTTCATGCTTTGGTTATATTTCTCCTTCACTCTCTGCTCTTTCATCTGCTTTCACGTTATAGGGTCAGTTGTGCCAGTCCTCAGCGTTGGGTCACCACTTGCTTTCCATTCATTCGTGAGTCACTGCAGGAACCCAGTGAAGCATCTGACAGTCACGGTCACTGCTCTCTGGTACGGATGAATGCCTTCTACAGTGACTGGTAAGACACATACACAGGGTTGAACTGTGAATCATCATCGTCTTCAGTTCACATCTTCTGTCCTTTTCTCCGTGCCCTGTCTTAGCATTTCTGTGCTTGTCACTGAAATTGCAGCTGCTGGAGGTGTTCATCAAGTCAAGTCCTCCTGTGCTGCTTGACCTGTCAGCTGCCCTTAATGCCTTTGGCAGTGTCACAAAAGTGCCTTTCTGATTAGTTTTTTGTTATGTCATTTGAATGTTTTCTCCTCCCTGAGATTTCTTTTGTGGATTTTGTATGTTGGATCCCTTTATTTCTGCTACGCTTTATCTCGGGATACCTTCATCCAAAACCAGAAATTCAGCTGACGGTTTTTTGCAGGTGACTCATAAGTCTGTATTTGTTCATCATACCTGTCACTTCCTGCCCCATGAGAAAGGGCACACTTATTTCCCTGATGTATTGAAAACACATCCCTGAATCTTTTCTCCCTGTTTTCTTTTGATGATAATTGAGGCACTGTCTTTGAGTCGGAATTTTCTCTGCTCATGTATTTTAACTTGCTAATTATTTCTGCGTAGCTGCTCTCTAGTGCGGCGTTTCTTGTTTGTGCGTGCAGCTCAAATGCTTATTTGGGCTCCCAACGTCCAGTTCTCTGGTTTGTCTTAGTTCTTCTACCCATCCAGGAAGTTGCTACCTACATTTCTTACCCATTTCTCTGGCCAGCTGTCTTTATGCTTGCTGGCAGTTGCAACTGGCAACATTGCTGGAGGTTGCTGTTTGATACAGCATGTTTTAAGAGAAAACATGGGGTTGCAACAGAGTACTGGCGAATGGCAAGGGCAAATATGGTTTTTAAAGAGTTGGGTCTTGTTAGTTTCCCCAAGAATCTCTCAGGTAGGGAATATTGGTGCTGGTGTTATCCCTATTATTTTTTTTGTTAACATCGTGAGAGCTGAATTTTAACTAGGCAGTTACCTTTTGGAAGGCCTCTGATACATATGCATACACAAAAATACATATACTGTGTGTGAGTGTCTGCATCTAGATACATATATTGCTTTTGCATAACATGTGTCATTCCTTTGATACTGAAGTGTTGACATTCGATACGTGTTCATATTAACCCACAGGCAAGGGTGTTACAAAATCACTTGAGTGCCAAATGGGATTTAAACTGTTGTTTTGGGTAAGAGGTATGGAATGAACAACTATTGATGTCCATACGATTGGCTTATCTCTTAGCTGTCACCAGTGATATGTAAAGCTGTAGCACTTAAAACATTTGAAAGATACTAATTGCCTACAGTGTCCATTATTCCTATACTGTCAGATTTTTTTTCACTGTAAAAACTGTGCATAAACTGTCTGTACTACAGTTGTTAATGGGTATAGCATGTCTGACTTTTTAAAATTAGACTAAGACTTCATTTCTGTAAGTGTATCTAAATAGATGTAATCATGTTAAACTGAAAATCTGAAAATTTTAGTGTAATAAATATCTCTTGGCTTGTCCTACAACATTGTGCGGGTTACTGCAACGTGTCTCTCTGGCACTGCTTTTACTTACAGTACAAAGAATCAATCTCAGTCATGCCATGGATTGCAAGTGTTCCACACTGATTGAAACTTTGGGTGTTGTTTGTCAGAGATCAGCAGAAATCCCTTTAGTTTGGGAGAGCTGTAGCTTAAATATCATGCTTTTCCTGAGTGGTTAGCTTTCTCAGACTGAGCTGTTAAAATAATCTTGTTTTTATGAGAAAAAGTACTGGGCACTGACTGGTACTGTATGAGATGGTTTTAAAGAAAATAATTCAATGATAATACTTTGCATGAGTCATTAATCATGAGTCATGATCAGCAGGCAGTGATGTCCAATTTGTTTTCTAATCCTGCACTTGCTGATGCTCTTTATTACCATAGTGATAATAATAAAGAGCTGTTAATGCATATAACCACGCAGCTGAAAATGACAGACGTTTTTTTGGTGGAATAAGATTTCCATAGCTTAAGTCTGTTTTACTCTGTACATTTTTTGACATGAGAAATCTATAAAAGTGATCAAGCAAGTATAATTTGGCAGGGAGTTAGGTCAACCGAACAGACTTTGCCCCCCCCCCCCTTGTGCTTTCAAGCCAATCATTGTGGCTGTGGAGAATTAAATCTAGTCTGTCTTCTTATGAGGATTGGGGAGGCTTTGTATTCATTAAAAACTGGGAGTTAATTGTTCAAACTACGTTTTGCAATGAGAGCCTGCGCTATCCATGTTTTTAATGTTTGCTCTCTCCTGAGCAAAGACTAGTAGCTGGATGGAAAGGTTTTTTTGCATGAGTGTATGTTGGGGAATGACTGCTGAGGTTTTAGAGACAATGGAAGGCAGTTTCTCCTCTGAGAGCCTGAATATAAAAAGAATCATTTAGCTGAGAGATATGCTTTGGAAACCTGTTTTCACTCTTAAATAAAATTTTACCAAGAGAAGTGATTCTGAAAGCTCTGAAAAGTGATGGCTGAAGTGTTGCAGACAATAGGAGAATGTGCATAGATGGAGAGTGTTGGGGTGCAGCAGCAGTTGGGTGATACTGTTTATGAAGTAATGAATCACGTATTGAATTAGATTTTAACTTGATTAAATTTTAATTAGTTTTATTAGCTTACACTTCAGTGTAGAAGAGTTGATCGTGACTGATTAAAACCTTGAAATTAGTAAGGAACTCAGAAGACCCTTCAAAGTGTCTCACCAGATGTTAAAAAATGATTCCTTTACCTATTCCAGCGTATATGACCTTATAATGCATAGCTTCGTATAGGCCTTACTAGTTTCTTTGTGTTGCATTTGTGAGATAGTGCTGTATTGGTGGATGCAATGTTGCAGGACAGGTATCAATCTACTGGCATAGGAGGCTCTTCGAAATTGCCTGGTACGACGAATGCTCCTCCGCATCCTGTAATGTGGTTGCTGTGCAAACGCCTCTGTTTCAATGAGGATTATACCTGCCCCAACAGAAGCATTTTCTACTTTAGTGTAGGATGGTACAGCCAGAGGCAAGATAAGAGTTCACCCAACAGGATTGTTCACTTCTTTCATTATAAACTAATTGTGTGTGGGTTTTTTAATGTGCTTGCTTGTTCATGTGTGTATAATAAATGTTTTAAAAATTTTGAGTCTGTAAACTGTAAGATGCCCTGAACACAGTGTAAAATGTAGCTGTCACCAAGTTCTGTCTCAATGAGTATGTTTGTGTTCTGGGTTAACCTTAGAAAAAATTTCCAGGAGCTTCTTGCCAATTTTCAAAGAATCTTGTTTCTGCCAAATATGATTAAGAAACAAAGATTGTCTTTTCCCAGTTCTCAAAAAAAATTCACATCTACCATGTCTTCTGAACAGCTGTATCCATTAAAAAGGGAGTTGAGGCAAAGCTAGAGCTAGTCTAGCAAATTGCAAGATTTAAATATAACAAATCTTTTTGCGTGTCCTATGGGGGTTCTTTTGATTCCCACTCTGAGTGGCTTCTAGATGACATCTTTTTCAGATTAGCTGTCTCCAGTTCAGGGTTTAGCCATTTCTTTCAAATCACTTGTAAACCACTTTCTCCAGTAGACTCTTTTCCAAAGTAAATAAAATAAGGCAGAGCCGCAGATCAAGAATAATATTTGATAATGACTTTCTTATTATTTCCTGATATACAGGCATACATTGTCGAGTGGAAATAGTGGAGGAATAAACCATAGGTATACTGGTACATAGAAATAATTTACCAATATTATGTACCTTTATAAAAGGCAAGTGTGGTGCTCAATACATAATACTGTTGTACTCTTTTCCTCCTTTGGAGTACTGCACAGGTTCTGGTGCTCTGTGTCCAAGTGAAATCAATTCAAAGTGCTGCTGGAATGACTGGGAAAAATATATAGCTACCAGGGGCTAAGCAGACTAACTAGTTTTAAGGTGGAGTGTGATCAATGTGTTTAGTGGAATTAGGTGACAGGGAACGGACCTCAATATAGTAATGGTCTTCAGTTCTTAATTTTTGTGTTCCTCAAGTATTTCTCTTGGGAAGGTCTTGCTGTACTAGTTGCTTACAGAAAAGCAGGAGATCCAGATCCTGGAAACTAGGGGTTTTGGTAGGATTTTTCCTCCAACACGGGTGTGGGGTTTGGGTATTTTTTTAGGAGGGAGAATGAGGGAGGGTTTGGAAGATTAGTACAGAGTAAGTTAGTCTAATGGAATACGTAAGGGTCTTAGTACAGTTCTTGAGCCTCTTTCATGTTCTGCATGTGAATACTTTTGGGTAATTTTTGCAAGAAAATATTTTAAAAGATGCTAATTTCTGGCTTAACTACTAAAACAACTTTATAAAACTCCTATTAACTTTGTGGGAGTAGATTCAAACTACTGAATTTTGCAAATACAGCCTGCAGTGATTTCTGTAGACTTTATGATTGCATCACCTTTATATTAGTTTCTGCTGTCCTGCTTCCCTCTCTGTCAGAGGACTGAGGTGGATCTCAAAGGAAGTTTCCTGATTTCCCCCTGCCCCATTTATTTCCAGAAATGGCCATTTCTCTGTGGAAGAACTTACTTCAGACTACAAAGGAAAGGCTACTACAACAAAGAAGGATGTCACTGTATAATGGTGCTCATGGCTATGAGGAAGAATTGATAAAGAAGAAACTTCAGCAGTTTGCTGGTGGATCCATCAACCTTTCCAAAGAAGACAATGGCATTGGAATACTTACTTTGAACAACCCAAAGCTGATGAATGCCTTTACAGGTATTAGTTGTTGGGATTGCTGGTTTGTTGGGGGTTTTTTTCTCCTTCATTTACCCATTTCAGCATTTTGCTTAAACAAAATGGAAAGCTATGCCTTAGCGTTCCATAGTTAAAAGAAGAAATTTTAAGTTTTATTCAGATGTGCAGCAAATGCCCACTGTTCTGCATAGTAGTTTTGCCATAAAGGTCATAAGAATATATGAAATTCTCAAGGACACAAGGACTGTCTGGCAGAACATGCCTCTTCCCCTTTTTTTTCAGTCAGCACAATTCTGCTACTGTGCTTTTTCTTGTATCTCCTTTCATTTTGTCGCTACTGCTCTGGAACATAAAGGGTATTTTTATGGGGGTGGGAAGATGCCATCTTTGTTTTGTAGGTGGTGTAGAAAGGGTGAGTTTACTTCTTTGTTCTTTACCTAAAGCCTTCCCTGTAACTTGAGCTTCTGTAATTTGGTCTTTTCCAGTCACCCAAACTGACTTCCATTTCTTCTTCATTTGCCTTATGTCTTAAATACCAATGTCTGGTTAATTAAAGATCAGATGAGCTAGGTATTCTCAGCTGTTGCAGATCAGGAATCTATTTAATATGCTTTTATACTGGACAATACTTTGCTATCAAAACCAAGTGTTCTGTTTTATTAATTATTTAATTAATAATGTTTTATGAGAGGCTTTTGGTCTCCAAGACAGGTATATTTGCTGTCTCTCCTTAACTGTCAAGAATACACCTATTTATGCCATTCTCTTCAAACATAAGTGGCACAGATTCAGAGCCTGCATCTGCCTGAGCTGCAGCTGTGCCTAAGCCTTTACTGTAAGAATGCCTTTATCTCTTAATATTTTGAAATGGATAAGTTTGTGTCATCTTGTTAATTTCTTTTTTTGCTGTTCTGTTTTCCTGCCCAGTTCTTACTGTTCCTTTGCTGTCAGCAAATATGTTTACAACCCACTAGCAAAGCGTAGAGCTGTTTACATGAGGAATGTCAATCTACTCCTTCCACTAATGATTGGAAGGAAAGCTGAAAGGAAGAGAACCTGACAGAACAATGGAATTAGTGGTAATGCACCTAGGCAGGTCTGCAGTTTCTCTTTTGTTTCCCTTTAAAAGCTCATGTATAAAATCATTGCCTAACTTGAGAAGTTGTAGCTAAAAGACGTTAGCGTGGGGATTGTCCTTCTGAATACCTCCCTGTCAGCAAACATGTTATTATACAATCATAATTACATTGTTGTTTCCTCTTTTTCTACAGATTGGTTTTTATTTTTGACTCAAAATAGAGCTGTGCAAGGTACAGCTTGTAGACTGTGTGCTCTCAGCTTATTTGTTGTGGAAGTTGAAAGGGGCATGAGAAATGAGATGTAATAGCGAAAGGAGGAAGGACAGACAAAGCCCAGTCTGCTATGGCAATCAGATGTAATACAAGTCAAATTCCTTAAACTAAACTTTCACAGAAACTTACAACTATATTCTCTGTCTTCTAGGTGCTTGGCAGAAGGGGCTGGGAACTGATGTGTTGAAGTGCTGAGCAGTTGCAGCAGCTATTTAGGCCACTGGTGGCTGTGCTTTGACTATACAAAGTGTTGATGTACTGAAATCACATCTCAAGTTGAGCACCCAAATTTAGCAGATATTTTCTCTGTTGCTTAGTTAGTGGTCTGTAAAATAATGTCTTCTCTCTTTATAGAATTGCTGTGAAAATAAATTATTAGTGTATGTGAATTAGATGCTCTGGTAGCAAAGAGGAGCTACAAAAACCCCTGAGGAAATTAATAGTTGTGTCTTTGTTGCAGACCCTGATTAGCATGTAGCAAATGAGCCATGGGATCAAGCAGTTCTGTTCTATGGTAGTGTGTAGAGCCCTGTAGAGAGCAGTACTCCATTTTGCTAGGTAATATGCACAAAAATTTGCTCTGGAAAATATTCCTATGGCAGTTCAAGAAATTACTGCTTCTTTCTACTGTGCACCTCTGCTAGAGACTTTTGTTCTTACAGGAGAGAGAGTAGAAGCAAAATCATGCTGGCCCCTTGGCTGCTGTGGCAGATGGCATATTAATTTGTGCTGCTCTTCATTTCATTTTAACATTACCGTCTGTAAACCATAGTTGCTGAGGAACTAGCAAGCACTTGATCCTTTTCCTTTTGTTGTCTATCAAGTAATATGCTTCAGGAGAAGTATGGAAAGGAATGGGATGTGCAACCCATAAATTGCCCCAGCAAGACCTGGTTGACTTCATCAGCTAGAGCCTGTAAATACCTCCTTCCCCCCGCAAATAAATTCTATTGATTCTGTGTCTCAGAGCTTCTAGATAGTGGCAGATGTGAATTTATATATACGTGTATGCTTCCTTTAGAAAGCTGCAAAACATCATTAAAGTGTTGAGAGAAATCCTATTTGCCAGGCATTTACTTTACACAGCAGCTTTTTATCTCAAAGGAATTATGTTTATTCTAAGCTTGAGCAACTCACGGAACCAAAAGCAGAACAAAATTGTTGGCAAATTGCTAATGGGCAATGTGGAGGTTGTTATGCCTTTTTTCTCTTCTTAATTGGAATCTGATAGCCCCCTGTTTGAAATGGTCTCTTTGGAAACAGATGCTAATAATGTCAGTTTAAGCCTGGTGGAACCAGTTTCAGCAGCCCAAACTCTTGCTGAACTAAAGTTGATTTTAACTTAAAAAAAAAAAAAGGAAGCCAGCCTGCAGGACTTAGATAATAATGGTGATAATTTTATTTTCTAGAATTGACTTTAAAGCATTTATTCTCAGATTATAATTAAGCTGCAAACAAATTATTCCAAGTCGATTTAGTTCTCTGAAGAGCATGAACTTACTGGTATCAAATACTGAAGGACCAAGACTGGCAGAATGAGGATTTGCTTTAGTATTGTGTCCTTGTCATTATATAAGACATCATGGACTATATATGTTGGTAAAATAATAGTTCAGTGTTGCCAGTAATGGAAGGGATCCTCTCCCAGGAGGACGGGACAGGCTCTGGCCAGTGTCTCTTGTCCCCTGCTGTTGCATGTAACTGGCTCACATGGTTCCTTTTTGTAAACTCCATTTTACAGTTAACTACAGTTTTGGCTCGTAATACTCTGTGGAAAGACGCTTTGGTACCTCACTGTTTTAACTATTAAAAGCACCACAAACAGTGGTTGTGCTGTGTCTTGATTCTGGCAAAGCCTGGATGCCAGCCCAAATACTCTTCTTGTACGAACACTTGGCAAATATGCAAAAAGTTAAATCCATGGGGTTGATGCACATCTATTTAAACAGCAGCATTTGTAGAAAAGTCGTTGTTGAGTGTACTGTTAGGCTGGGAAAGCATTTCAAGTGATGAGCCATGAAAATCTTATCTAGGCCTAGTTCTGCTCTGTATTTTCATTCATGGCTTGGATGATGAAATAGAAGGTGAACTGCTGAAATGGTTAGATGACCCCAAACTGGGAGAGCTTGCAAGAAGATTGTTATTTGGAGCAGAGGAGTGGAATTCAAAGTGATCTTGATTAACTGCTACAAAGAGCTCAAGATCAACAAGGTGAAATTCAATGAAAGCAAATGTAATGTGCAACACACAAAAAGCATTACTGAATTATAAATACAGAAGTGAAAGGAACCGGTAAAAGTGCTGGAATTTGTTAGAGGATCATAGTCTGGACCTGACAGTGGAAAAAACCCAACCCAATGTCATTCTGGTATATAATATGTAATGCCCACTTAATTATTGTCCTCCTCAGGAACATTGTCAAAATGTGCTATTTCAGTGGCTCAGACCACACCTAAGGTGGAAGTGCTTGACTGAGCATTCACTCGACGTGGTGCTGGGAAGCTTACTCCATAAGGAACTGCAAGGAAAACAAGCAGGAGGGGGAAAAAAACCCAAAACCCCCTCCCATGTCAGGATGGCTACTAACAGGCAATTTCAGAACAGGAAGAGTTCTGTGCATGCAGGTGTAGGTCAAAAAACCAACACTCTTGACAGAAAAGGAAAGAGCCCTTGAGGGTATTAATCTAAAGCACATTTATTTCTGAAGAAGGCAGGCCTGTCCATCTAAATTCTTGTCAAAGGAGGGTAAAGCTGAGAGTGTCATCAGCCTGTATGTAGCCTGCTTTCTGAAATTAGTTTCTGTAAATGTTTTCTCTTAAGAGTATAACTGAATGAGAGTTGTAGGCATTCAGAGAGGAAGAGCTGTAAGTTAATGCTTGGTAAGCACAGTTGGTGTGGTAGATGCTTCAGTCTACGATGAGCTCTAGAAACAGGAGTTTGTAGAGTTCCATGTCAGGAAGGGTACTTAAGCGAACATACGAGAATATTATGTTTAAACTAAAAATAAAAAGCTAGTACTGTACAATCCATATATTTGGAGCCTAGGATATACTTTCTAAAGAGAGCCTTTCTAAAAAGGTACCAGGGAGGGAATCAAAGATGTTTTAGAAAGGCTTTTTTTTTTTTCCCCCTTCCTTCTTGTCCTTTTAAAAGATAAAAGACACTTTGCTCCTCTTTTCAAATATATCTTTATTTTCTTTTGGATGGATACTCCTAAATGTCCTTGCCCTCCAGCATAGTCTGGTCTTTAGCCTTTTTTAGGCATCTTTATTAACACTGACTGATTGTGCCTCAAGCCTACCTTGCACATGATTCTTTTCTGTACTCTGCCAGTTCTTTGGGCAGGGTGAAATGGCAGTAACATCAAAATGACTAGATGGACAGATCTGGATGGATACATGTAAGTTCATGGGTCCTGAATGCACATAATTGCAAACAAAAATAAATCAGGTAGAGTTTATGCTTGCCTCCTTGCACTTTTTTTTTGAGTATAACACAAATATCTTTCATGCAGAATATCCTTCAGAATTTTGGGAAGTGCATCCTTGAGGAAAAAAAATGTATGTCAGTGCTCGTGAGCAGGATTTAAGGTGATGCCTTCCCTTGTGTTTTTAAGCCCATCACTTATTAACAATAACTTGGTGGTGAAAAATGTAACATAAAACATGATGGTGATAATAATTTCCTGTTAAAAATTTTGCTTGTCCCCTCTTGTGACAGGTACTATGATGCTAGAACTCCAGGAGAGGGTAACCGAACTGGAAAACTGGAAGGATGGCAAAGGCCTTATCATCTATGGTGCAGGAAACACCTTTTGCTCGGGATCTGATTTGAATGCTGTCAAAGCAATATCCAACTCCCAGGCAAGTAGTGATAAAAATTAAGTTTTTTGGAGAAAAATGAGCTTTCTGATATTCCGAGATACTTTTCAGACAGAAGTGTTACACTATGCTTCTGCATCAATTTTACATGCAAGTCACAGAATGGAGCTTTTAATGGTTGAAAAAATGCTGGCAACCGCTTTAAGCCATAGCTTAAGTGTTATTGTAATTGATTTGTAACTCTGAATTTCTACATTACATCTCCTTTTTAGCCTTTTCTTTTTAAAAAGTCATTTCAGTTTCTCAGAGCAGTATATGGCAAATTTACACATCAAATAATCTGTGCTTCAGTAGTTTGACCTTTAGAAGCAGATACAAGTAATCATTTCTCATATATTCTAAAGTCAAAACCAAATTTAAGTAGCATGGGTGCTATTACAGAAAGGTTTCAATTTTGTCAAAACTGTGCTTGGACCAGCATAAAATGGAAAGACAGCTGCAATTCTTGTGCTGTAGTCCAGTCAGGTAAGTCATGTGAGTAACTATGGGGTTGAAGAGGACAGGGTTTGGCAGTTTTTCACTCATGCCACCCGTGTTGACAACTTTCACATATGCTGCAATTTTTTAAATGGGTTAATATGTAGTTTTTGGCAATGTGTGAAATAGGACTTTGTCAGCTGCAGGAGAAGGGGGTCTTCCTGTGCTGCTCTTACATCCCAGTTTGCAATTGTGGTAACTGGCATCCTGGTGCTTTTTTGTGGCCACTTCAAGTTTGAGGATTTAACCACACAGATTAGACATTTAATTGAACCTTCCAGTAAGAACACCAACTCAAAAACTGGTTAATCTGGTATTTGTCTTTGGTGATGATTTGTTTCTGTTGATGAAACTAAATATCATAAAAAACACAATGTCTTAAATATTTCTGGCCTGATAAAACAGGATGGTCCGGTTTTCAAAATGTATAGGAGGCTTTGTTTCCTTTGTGGAACACCATTAGAGGTATGCTTTTCTTAATATGGACACACCATGCTTTATAGATATATATGTTTTGGGGGGAGTTTTCTTTTGGATGCTTTATAAGCACTGGTCATTTAAAAAATATAGATATATCTGTGATTTGGGGGGGGTAATTGTTTTGGTTTTTTTTAATGTGAAATTTTAAGCTTACTTTAACATTATAGCAACAGAAAAGGAACTGAAACCAAACGTGGGTGAATTCTTTTCTTATCTGCAGTCTAGGCTTTCCTTCAGAGTTCTGCATTCAGTAAGTCTCAGTGATTGTGCTTCCATACTCTCTTTGACATTTAATATTCTGTCTATATGTTTATAGAAATTACTTGGAGCCACTGCAGTGGCAGAGAGGGCTCTTGTAAGGATTAGGGTCCCTAACAGATACACTGGGCAGAATGAAATGCGTAGGTATTAATTATAACTTTGTTGAAAATTCTCTGCAAAGAATCTAGAATTCATGCTAGTGCTGATCTGTAAGTGTAAGAGTCACCAGAAATGCTCCAGGAATAGTTAAACTTGGCTGCTTTCTATTTCCTCAGGAGAGTTCAAACTATCCTGAACTGAGAGTTTCTTTGTAACAGCCAACTCCTAAACCATCTGTTTGGTGGGATTTAATAGTCTTTATTAAATAAAACTTTAATAGAATAAGGAATAGCATTTGCTGTTTGCTAGTCTTGCAGAACTCTGCTCTCTAACTCACTGCAGATGAGAGAGTTTTGTCTGGTTTCAGGTTAAAAGAGCATTAGGTTAAGTTTTCTGTCCACAGGCATCCCTAAGGCAAAAGAAAAAACAGTGAATAGCTTCATGCATGAACTGGTATGGTTTTCCTTTTTTTTTTTTCCCAAGGCTGCTTTAGCCCATAGTTTTTAGTAATTACAGAAAACACTTTCATTTTCTTCAACCAGTTGGTTGAGGGAAGATTGTATTTTTCATCATCTATGATACAGTTTGCCTTTCCCTGTGGTGCAGAAAAGGCAGAATAGTGGCCAAGAATGCTGAAGGATTTTCGTGCCCCCTAGTGGCTCCTCTTCCTCTTCGTCCCCCTCTTCCTCTTCGTCCCCCTCTTCCTCCTTCCATGTTTAGTTGTTCCTAACCCTGAAACAAACCCAGGTCCCCGCCTGTTCTTCTTTGGCGAGTGCTAACATTATGTGACCAAATCGCGGAAGGCAAATTAATAGTGGAATTTAAAAACAAAAAATGATTTTTCTTTCTGTCCTTGTAAGCCTGGTTCCCAAGAGCAATAACCTCATTCTGGAGGGAGACTTGAAAAGCTGGCTAGCTGAAAAGCAGCAGAGGCTCTTGAAAGGACGGCTAAGAGGAAGGAGGCACAAAGGAGGATTTGACTTTCCTTGGCCCCTGTCTAGAAGCCCCAGGACGGAGGTTCCCGAGCAGTAAGCCGTGGAGGGAGGACTTGCCAGCAGTTGGAGATGGTGTGGAAATACTGTTCTATCTGTAGCGAAAGTGGACTGTAAGCTCTTGCAGCAAAAAGAGCCAGTGGTACAGTTTTCTACTTTATGAAGGTGACTTTCTTCTTTCCTGCCTCCCCTAGCCCCATCACAAACTATTAATCCTTTTCTTCCATATGTAGTGCATACTGTATGTTACCTCACTTTCTGCTTGTTAGATTTCTTCCTGCTCCAAGTCCAGTATTAGAGCTGAAAATGTGATTATTCCACTAGACTCCAGTGAATATCCCACTTATTCAGATAAAATACTCTGACTAGTAGTCGCCTTTTTCTTATCAGGAAGGTTTGAAGGGTATGTTGGCCGGGACTCAAGTAATTGTGATTTTTATTTTTTCTTTCCCCCCAAGTGTTTTCTGTGCAGGCATTTTTTCCATGTGATACACAGTAATCTCTCTACCACCTGAGAATATGAAGACCTTTCTTTTTGTCTGCTCTGTCATAACCGCATTTATCAAGCTGGTCTGTTCTGGCATTAATCTTTAATTACCGTTTTGCATTTTGGTATGAATTGAGATGGCCAGTTTGAATGCAAGGACTCTGCTGTGATGAAGTGAAAAATTACTTTCTCTGAAGAGCTTTTTTGCAGCTTCATGCTGGTGGTTGTAGTATGGGAATTGTGCAAGTCCATGCCTGAGAACTGGTACCCCGTATGTTTGTGTGGGTTTTAAACTTAGCTGTTAAGACAGCTATCATGGAGGATTTGATTGTTCTTTAATTTGGAATGGAAATATTGCTGTTGGTCTCAATGGGTGTAGGAGGTGGCTACAGTGATAACTAAAAGCCTCTTTATAAATCAACATGTGCTGAAATTTTCAAGCAGGCCTTCAGTGTAATGAAACTGAATTCACTGGTTCCTGTGTAGCAATCGTCGTGGCAACTTATATCTGCCAGAGATCTGTTCTTAGACACCATAATGCTGGTTGATGTTCGGCAGAGTAGGTCTTGGGAACGCAGGAATAAATGGACAATAAATCAGCTGAAGTTGACCTACTATTATTTCAAGGTCATGTTCCAAGATGTACTGACTTACTGCGTATATTTTCTTTCCCTGAGGTATGAGTCAGAAGCTTTTAATTAAGGCAGATTCTTTAACTTGCCAACCCCTGTAAAACTGTGTTTTAGAAATTAGTAAATGCCGATACATTTGTTTGTTCTTTTTCTTCCTATGATTTGTTTGGGGATTTTTTTTGTTTGGTGGTGGTTTTTTTGTTTGGGGTTGGGTTTTTTTTGAAAGACATACTGAAATTGTTATCTACTGCTTTTTTACTTCTACAGTGTCCAAACATGTTTTTTTAAAAATCTGGATTAAATGGCACGTGTGTAGTTCAGTGTATGCAGTTCAGTCTGTATTTGAACACAGTCATACTGGGTCATTTAGCCCAGTCATTTGTTGAGTTCCTGGTTAACAGTAGATGTCTGAGAAAGAATATAAGAACAAGGAAGGCAGATAGATAATGATTTTGCTTCAAAATATTCTTTTGGACCCCAGCAACTTGTGACTAAGACCTCTAAAGCTAGAGGTGTTATCTTGTGTTTAATAACCTTTTGTTGATTTTTCTGTCCTGAGTTTATCTAGTTGTTCTTGAATTCATGTAGTCTTTTAGAGGTTGCAATGCCCTGCTGCAAAGTGTTCCACAGTTTAACTGCGTGTTGTAGGAAGAAGTATTTGTTTTGAACCTAGCAGCAACTGATGTTATTTGGAACCCCTTAGCTCTTGTACTGGAAGAGAAGGGAACAATTGTTCCCTATTCACTATTGTTTGCAAGCTGATGTAAAACATAAAGGAGGACAGAAATAAGAAGAACCTTCTTTCTGGGTTTGGGTTTTTTTTTTTGGCTGAAATGCTTTTGGCCCAAACAATAAAAAATGAAGTTGGTAAATTGTATCTGGTCTAAAACTTTATGGATTTGGAACAGTAAAAAGTATGCAGTGGTCCAAGGTCCTATACAGACTTTTAAAACTCAGCTTTATGGGTGTTTAGCTGGGAGTAAGAAGAGGAAATTAAGAGGAAAGAGGAAATTATAACTGAAATTCATATAAATTGATTGAGTTTTGATTTTTATTTTTTTTTAACCTGATTTATGCTAGGTTTTCTATTTGTGCATAGTGTGGTTGGGCTGGAATTAGGGCAAGATTAACCAAAGAGAAAGAAAACCCAGCTAGAGTAAATATAATGAATATTCCTGTCTACTCCATCTGTGTGTTTAATTGCTTCACATTAGGATCACTTAACATTTTTTAATTTCCTATTTTTTTGTAGGATGGGATGAATATGTGCATGTTTATGCAAAACACCTTAACCAGACTTATGAGGTAATATATTTTATTTACCTTTCTTTATGAAGTAATTACAAGGATTGGAATATGTTTTGGCTAACTCTTTAACAAGATGTTTAAAGTTAAATACGTAGTTTTAAGTATGTAATTTTGAATCCCAGACCTTGTATTCACACATGTTAATCAGGTAGGTATTTATGGATTTAAATTAGGCCTTGACATTTTGCAACTATTAGACTTTCCAGAGATTGAAACAGGAAAAAAAAAGACCTATAGGCTTGTATGTGGAGGGCCAGGAGATACCTAGAGTTAAGGAGATCTAAGCCTTCAGAGTTTCTGAAGCTGACTTCTGTAACTCAGTGGAAATTGGTAGCTCTTAAAAAAACAAGCAGGGCCAGCTTATGCAGCCTACACAGGTAACATTTATTTAATATATTTATTTAATCTTCCCACTTCATAAGAGGACTGTATTCAGTTCTACCATCTGGTACTTCTGAAAAACATTTTTTCCTTTCCTTTAGATTTAGCTTCCCTTAAGAAATCACATTTCTATTAAATCCATGTGTGATAGAGTCTGTCTTTTTTCTGCTCAGAGCTCTTTGAAGATAAATATTATTTTTCTTTTTTCAAATAATCTATATGAGAAAATGTTATGAGTTAACATTATTCTGTAAAACTGCCCAGGAGATTGGAGACTTAGTAGCAGTACTACTGTAAGGAATCCTCAGGATCAGAATTAGAATGTGTTTGTGTAAGTTGGTCTCCGTATAATCAAAATTGATGGGGCAAAGCAAAGAGGAGGAAGTTGTATGAAGATTAAGCCCTCACCTCAGGTGTCTTGACTTAGAGTGTGTTGAAGCTGTGGTTCAGGGGGAGCGATGAACTGCTGTCTGGGGACATCTCTTGTAGATGGGATCAGACTCCCTCAGAGGGAGCGGAGGCTGACTGTCATCCTGAAGGAGGTGCCTCAAAGGGATCAGAGTATGGATGTAGGGGACTTGGACCCATATCTTCTGGTTCCTCATAGACCATAGGAAAAATGAGGTTACCCTCTTCCAGTGGGTTCACTTGGGCCAGAAGAAATTGTTGGTGCTTCTGTTAAAGTAGAAGTAAAACCAAACATGTGGTCATGATTGGGAAGCTGACTTCTGAATGTGGTTTCAGAACTGCTCAATGAGTTAAATGTCTCTTCGTAGTAAAAGACAACACAGCTATATCAGCATGCAATTTCTGGGACTAACCAATTGTCTTTATTTCTTAGGGAACTTGGCTTATCCTAAGTCAGTCACTGTTCATTAGTATTCATTTTGCAATGGCAGTGGGGAAAGTTCTCCCTACATACTCTTCCTTCCCTCTGTCCTTTGAATTACCTTGAACATGATTAAACACCTTGAGCATGATTAAATACAACACCATCAAACGTAACAGATTGTTGCTATCCTCAAAGGATGGTTTTGTCCTCCAAAAAAAAAGTTTTGTTGATGGCTGAGATGATAGAACTCTGAAGAAGGTGCTGAAGGTCTCATGCTAAATCTCATTATTTTTAGATAACCCAGCCCTTCAGTTCTTTGTGTCCCCTTCTACTGCTTTCTGTAGTGTACTGGCTTAGCATAGAGTCTTGTGTCGCTGTCCTGTCACTTGCAGGATATTCTTGCAGATAATCTATAGCAGGTATTTTTCATAACACAGTACACGATCTTCTCTGATTCCATTTGATATATCTGTCTTGCTGTTTCATTTTGGGATTCCATATCAATTACAGAATAATCACTTTGGCATGAGTGGAATTGGTATTGTGCTGGTTACCCACAAAGATGTAGTTATTTGAATGAACTGAAACAGTATATTTTTCTGAACTTTTACTATAGAGGTGGTTTGCTTGAATTCTTTTGTCATTTCTGAAAGACTAAAAGCATGAACTTTGCTTACAAAACTCTCTTGTGTAGATTGCCTTTGATCAGTGTTGCACTGGTCCAAGGAAAGGCTGTTGGAGGAGGAGCAGAACTTACCACAGCATGTGATTTCAGGTAAGATCAACAATTTGAGTAGCTGTCATGTTGGGTCGGTGATTTAATGACTACACCTATGAAATATGGAAGCTTGAGGTACCACTTTTACCAGGAGTCATGTCCCTGAATTCTAAGGCATTTGGAACTGGGCTTTGTCTGCAGACTTCACAGGAAAAAAAAGTTTGGGTTTCCTGATAGTACAAAGGAAAGATTACTTACTGCCAGGTTATGCAGTTTGAATCACTGTGTAAAACAAGAGCAGTGAGGAGCTTTAGCAACCAACCGTGTTATACACCAAATGGGTCCAACTTCTCACCCCCGAGTGAGAGGTAGGAGGACTGCAAAATTGTATATCCCCTTATGTCTCTTTATGTGGCTGTCATAAGTAAAAATAAATAAATAAAACTCTCCATGAGTCTGGTATTTAATGTTCTGGGTTTATTATTTGTAACATAACTTTGCACTGTACAGTTTTTGAAACAAGAGTGTGGGGTGCAGACGAAAGCAAATGAGGTTCTGTCCCTGTTTTTTTCTATGCAGGTGCAGGGATTTGCCAGCATGAAACAGCTAGCAAAAAGCAGAAGGCTTTAGTTAAAGAGGCTGAATGCAGAACAGGAACTGAAAGGAATTAAAATAACAAAATGCCACTTTATATAAACAGTTGCTAACGTGCAAACAGCCTACAGAGGTAACAGGATAAGCACTCTCCACAGCCTTTCTGACAATGAGGAGCTTTTAATAAAGTTTTTATCTGAGGAGATGTGCTCTTTCAGAGGGCCTTAGCACCTGAAGTAGGAAGGGAATTGTCCAGAACAAGCTGAAAGTACTTACATTCCAAAGTAATACTAAGCAAAGTACCCTAGAGTATTACAGTGCTGTTCCAGGTATCAGGAACAGGCTTTGGGTAGAGGAGATGGTATCTGCATTGCCTAAGCCACTCGGAGGCAATACTCCTTTGCTTTGAAACTAGGTGCAGCTGTATCTTTCTTCATATCTGCACAGCACCCAGTGAACTGGAACCCCAGCTCTGACTTACGGCCTCTGAGTACAGGCTGTATTTATTATAAATGCCTAGTAAATGTGCAGAGAGGTACTGTGTTTGACAGCTGCAGCGCTGGCAGGAGAGTGCACCTGGGAGACTTAGTAGACCTGTCTGTATCTGCGAGTCCGTTGACAGAAAGTGAATCTTGTTATCCCTAAATAGGAGTTTAGGGAATGTGAACATAATGAAATGGAAATCTTTTGGCTTTCTAAAATATGTAGTTTCTACTTTTACTCCAGCTATGTTGTTTGACATACTGTGTAATTATAGTCATTGTCAAGTAGCTAGTATTTGCATGAGTTGAGCAGCTGCAATTCCTCTGATGTTATTGCCATAATTTTCATAATAACTACAGCTGTTGATCCATCTTCCATTACTTTCTAACACGCCCATTCAGTGCAACTAAATAATAGCAGTTCAGGAGCAGCAAATGGGACTTAATTAATAACAACAACAAGACAGAGAAATGTACTGTGTGCTGCTATTGCTCCTGAATTTGAGAATTTTAATACTGGGGGACAAAATCTGGGTTTTCTTGAGGACTCTGAGTAGATATTAGTGAACAGATATTCTGTCATGAGTCACTAGATGCCAAAAGAGGAACCTGAGAACAGAAATCAGAAGGATTTGTTTTCTTCCTTGAATAAACTGTTTGGATATTTTATTTTATTTATTTTTATTTATTTTTGTTTTTTAAGAACAAAATGAGTGAGTTGTGGCTGCTTTTAATTCTAAGTTTTCAAATCCACCTCTATTTCTCACAGTTACAGTGTAAGCTACCAGCTGCTTGGTACTGGCCTGAAATGTTTTCGTATTTTTATCTCTGCCAGTTTGTACTACATTAATTATACTGATATGGTTGAAGTGATTCACTTGAACCAAAATGGCCTATGTACCTCCTCTGAAATATGCTCTGGCAGCATGATGCACACCTCTACTAAAGTACTAAAGTAGAGGTGTGGACAAATCCAATTTTAAAATAGCTGAGGTGGTTTAAGATGTTACTGATGTATTCATCCAGTGGCAGTCCTTGTGGCTAATTGTCTCTTACTCTGTTTTAAGCTAGCTCATTTAAAATTGGATTAGGGAGGACTTGGATGAACTCTGACACATTTATTGCTGACATAAAGGGCAGTGACGAAAAGTGAAAGCATCGTGGGTCACTCCACCTTTTATCTGGAGGAAGAGGTCTTCTCAAAACATCTTCTTCAATCTTAGTGGCTTTATGGGTTGTTGCAGAATGACTATCTGTAAGAGCAACATCCTTATAAAGATCATAAATATGTGATTGGAAAAAAAAAAAAAAATCAATGTCCTGACAAGTGCAAGGTAACTAAAATCCTTTCAGACTTTTTCTGATATGAAAACTGGGAAGGTAAGGCTTGTGACATTGTAATTATTTATCTCAATTATTTCTGTAAAACTGAGTAATGTAAAACCATGCAGGTATGAAACTTGTTTGGACAGCTGAGCTTTTTAGTGCAGTTTCAGGAAACCTAGACTTTTTTCAGTGTGCCACAGTGGAATATTCTCTCTGAGCCTGTGAAGATGGCTCATGGGTTCTGCTGCCAAATGTCAGTGTATGTTGCGGTTCTGCGTGATGCTGCAGCCATTTCAGTGAAGTGCACAAATGACTGTGATGTTGGATTCAGTGATTGAATTTTACAAATAATTGAAATGAAGTACCTGTTCTGAGTTCCCCGTATGGAGAAAACTTGAAGTGTGTCCTGTACTTACACAGTGCATGAAGTTAAGGAGAACAGATTTGGCAGGGCTGGTTAAGAGATTTGGACAAGAATTGTAGTGGGTTGTTGGGCAGTAAGCTAACAATTAGATATGGGGCAGAGACAGTTTGGTAATGAATGTATTTGTGCAATTAGTGGATCACAGTAATCTCTGAGAGCAGTAGCTGCAGCGTGCTACCAGCCAATAGCCATAATAACTAACTTTGCATTCTGAGCTGTCTTCTATTTCACATTGGTGCCTTTGAGAAATCTTGCTGGGGTGATGTCTGTGTAGGTCTTTTAGGCACATCTATAACTTTGAAAATTTGGTCCTATGTCACTTGGTGAATGGACTTCCATTGTACCTGAGTGCTTGTGAAAAATATGGTCTCTTCTCCCCTGCCCCCTTTTTCCTCTCTAATGCTACTGCAGTCAAAATAGAGGTGTGTCACTGCCATGTGAATCCAATTTAAAAGGTGGTATCTCCAGGCAGAGGATGAGAGTGCAAAGATGGAAAGCTACCCATTTCTCTTACCGTTGACCTCAAAATGGGCTCATAGGTAGAGGCAGCAGTATTCTCCTTTACTTTTTTAGAAAATGAATTAATCAACTATAATTTCTTCAGCTGTAATTGATGTTGCACAATTAAATTGTGAAGGGCCAGTTTCATTACAGTATCCTACTTAATTAAAAGCACCATTGATTTAAAGAGGTATTTGCTTTCTGAGCAGACATCTGCCCTGTATCTCTAGGCATGGCAGAGTCAAGCTTTTAACAAGGGAAGAAGCTTATGCTAATAATGCTGCATTTATCAAATTGACCTTGCTGCATTTTAATTGGATGTTTTCTGTATGTTTGTGAAATCTGTAGGCATGCTTAGTATTACATTTTAAGGTGTTAGGCATGTTCCATAAAACGCCTAATAAGAGATACAATGAAGTGCGCTGTTATTGAATAGCTTTTGTTGTGTGTGTTCTTGTGCTGACTTGTGTTTATTTATAAACAAGCATGCGTTTAGTGCATTAAATGTATTTTTTATGAAATAAAAGGAGCAGAAGAGAATATAACCACTACATAGATGTAGGCCCACTATGACCAACTTTTCAGTTGTTGCTCCTTTAAAAAAGAGGAGAAGGGAGGCTGTAAAGACATTAGTATTCCACAGTTAGCTTTTCCAAGAATAGGTTTCAGAACATCAGAGCACAACACACTAGCTTCTTTGGAAATATTTGGCTGTATGCAAAGATTTTGGCTTTTAGTTTTATCAGGAGGAGCTTTTAGGTACACAAGATGCTGCTGTTTGAAATCAGGGTGCCTCAGTACACAGTAGCTCTTTTCACTGGGCAGAGCATGATATGAATGTAACGGGATGGGGCTCACATATTCATGAGTTCTTGCAAAGTCTGGGCTGACAAAGCACTTTTCATTAGATGTGACCCCGTAACGTTGCTGCACATCATCAGGAGAAGAATCAGTAGCCAGATCTGAGAGTGGGTTCTCACAGCTTCAGGTGCTTGCTATATGCCATAGATCACTTCTTTTTAACTATATAAAATTTTCCTCTTTTATATATGTATATGTGTGTGTGTGTGTGTATGTAAGACCTCCTTCAAATCAGCTGGCAATTTTAGAATTCCATTGCAGTCATGCATCACTTCACATTTTTAGAGCCCTGGGAGGTTTGTTAGTACAATTTTCTGATGAATTTTCAGAGAGATGGATTATGGTTTTAAAAGTTTCACGTTGCCTGCCTTTAAGAAGGCTGTTCTTATTTTTGACCTGGCACACTTGACATCTGGTTAAGTAATCGCAGCACTGCTAGGAATGGACTTGAGAGCTTGTATTTTTGGGCCTGTATTTATGGACTGGTATTGGGTTTTTTTCTTTATTACCAGTTTTCATTTGGGTTTGAATTTCATGTGTTTACTGTCTTCCAGGCAGAGGATTTTCTACGTAGTCTACAGTTCAAATTTACCACTGTTTGATTTTACTGGAAATGTAAATAACAGCAACAAAGCACAAATTTGAGTTGACGTTTTCTTTCTGAGGTTGTCTTTTTGGTGGGATTTACTTCATTCCAAGTTTTTGGGTTTTGGTTGGGCTTTTTTTTCCCTTTGGGAGGCCAAACTATCTTATCCTGGGTGAATGAGATTTTTGCTACCAGCATGTGTCTACATTTTAGACCACTTCTACCATGCAATCTTACGCCCTTTCTGTTGAACAATCCTGTCTGCAGCTGATTTGTTGCTGCA